AGCCCAGCAGGCACAGGGCTGGGGGCAGACAGGCTGCAAGTGGGGGTGGTGGCTGTCGTCTGGCTGTGACCTCTGGCTTCTCTCTCTTTTCTCAAATGGTACCGCCTCCCATTTGCACTGTATTCCGGCATCTGTTTCCTCCCGGAAGCCAGTGAGGACAAGCTGTGCTCTTGGCTCCTTGGTGATGGGCTCCAGTCCTTGTGGGGAGGGATGGCCATCAGGCCTGCGGGGCGCGGAGGGGGCTCAGTGCCGTCCCGGCTGCCCCCTCCCCGCCCCCATCTCCAGGATCAGCTCTTCTTTCCGGAGAATCCGGGTCTGACTGTGCGCCGTATCCTCTGCCTCCGGCTCCTCCGGGACCTATGCCGCTCGCTGCGAGCCCTGCAGACGTTTGACATGTGTGCACGTTGCCTCTCCCCACCTAGACTGTGAGCTCTGGGAGAGCAGGAGCCTGTGGCCGTTCCTACAGCCCCCAGCCGCCCGCAGAGGGCCTCGAACACATCCCGCCTGTATTGGGGGTTGGGGGGGGGGTAGTGGCTGTGCTGGTTGGATCCTTAGCCGAGAGCTTGGCCTGGGCTTTTCCTCCAGACCTAAGCTCGGGGGCCTCCAGAGGAAGAGACCTTCAGCCCAGCCAAATGGATGCGCTCCCCACTCTCAGCTCCTCACCCTGGTGGTGCCTCTGGTCCTGGGAGCACCCCGGGCATATGTCCCCACCGTGACCCCCAGTGTCTGTAGACAGAGCGATGCTGGGATGTGCGGTGCCGCTGGGCGCGGGCCTCTCGCGCAGGTTGGCGGTGCTGGGTTGAGTGGCTGTGGACAGGCGGCTCTGGGGGGGTGGGGGGGCTTTTCCTGTAGCGTCCGTGGGTGTCGGAGCATCTCTACTCTGCCCTCCTCGGAGCCCAGTGAGCCGAGCGTGCACAGCCCCAGGCCCTGCCCTTGGCCTGCGGGGAGACCTCCACCTGCCCCTTGACGGACAGGCTCTGAGGTGGCCCGGGGCCAACGAGTCTCGCTCTTCCCTGAACAGGATTGTGGGGGGACCAAGAATGAAGGTGGCCGGCTGAGGCTAGGAGGGTGATAAGATCACATGGGTTTGCTGGATCTGCTTAGCAGAGTAAAGGGACAGTGGCCTTGACGGCAGGTCCCCGAGGGAGGGGTGACCTTGTCCAGTGGCTCTCGAGAAGCAACAGAGGACACAGGCTGCCCCCCCGCCCCGTCTCCAGCATCGGCCACAGAACGAGGTCACGGGTGTGATAAGGCGGTCCTGGGCCGTCATGACCCTCATTGTTTTCTCCTCTGAAGGCCACAGACCACTCCCAGTGACTGGAGAGGCCTGTTATGTGGCCCAGCTCTGGAGCCGGCCACCTGTGTCACTCCCGTGCCCCCTAAGGGTTGGTGAGATGAACTGGCACGAGGCGGGGGAAGTGCTGGGTGCAGAGCCCGCCGGCAGGTGGGGCGTAGTGACCGTGGAGGACGTGTCCCCACCTTCCCCTCCTCCTCCTGCTCAGATAGGGGAAGTCGCCATGGCAACAGAACAGGCAACTTCCTCAGCTCCTACTGCTGCCTCCTCCTCCCCCCCCACCGCCCCCCATCTCGGAGAATAAAGCCCAGTGGCACCCACACTGATCTCTGCTCTCGTCCTGATTTGGCTCCGTCTTCTGACTTCAGAGGGAGACCGTAGCCAGGAATGACTCTGGGTCTGAGCTGTAGGCCCGGGGAGCCGGGTGTGAGGGGGACATGTTCCAGGGCGAGGGCAGCTGTCCCTTCCCCCAGGGAGGCATCGCAGGAAGTCACCTTCCCCTGCAGAAAGGGGTTCGTTCGCAGAGACTCGCCCCCCACACTGCCAAGAGACCCCTCACCCCACCCCACCCCCACCCTCGAGTGTGCCCCTGGCATCCCACCACAGAGTAAGTTGGCCTCTGCCTCAGCCTCACCCCGGCCCCGGGAAAAGAGGTTGTCCCGGAGGGTTCTGCTTTAGTTGGAGGCCCAACACGCGCATTCATTTGCTAAACGGACTTGTGTACAAGGAGGTGTGGCCGGTCCCCGGGGCTCCCCTGCTGACAGCCAGGGCAGACGCATCCCCCCCAAGGGCTGCCCCCAGGTGTGACTTCCCCCAGGTCACAGGAGGGACCGACAGAGTCCCTCACCCCTCGCAGAGGACACCCCCACCCACAGACTGGGCTCAAGAGGGCAGGTCTGGACAGGAAGGGCCGAAGCCCAACTCGGGGCTCCCGTCCAATAGCCACCACCCCCAGCACACGCACATGCACATTCAGGGAGACCCTCCTGTGGCTGGGGACCTCGCAGGGGGAGAGCCCAGGTCACCGGGCCCTCAGCCTCACCCGGGGCGCCATGGTCGGGTCACTGTCTGCCCCTGGCCCCGAGACGAGGGGCGTCGATGGGTCTGGGCGCTGGACATCGGCAGCCCGGTGCTGTGAAGCAGATCACTGTTCTGTCTGTCCGCCTCCCGAGAAGCCGCGGGCCCGGGAGCGCCTCCTGAGCTGCTGTGTAGCCCAGCTCCTCTCTCTCAAACCTAATTCTTCTCTCTCTCCCTGTCTCCGTGTCTCCCTCTCGCTGTCTGTCCTGCTCTCTCCCTCCCGCCTGCGGCCGCAGAACCGCATGCACGAGTCTCTGATGCTCTTCGACTCCATCTGTAACAACAAGTTCTTCATCGATACCTCCATCATCCTCTTCCTCAACAAGAAAGATCTCTTTGGCGAGAAGATCAAGAAGTCCCCTTTGACCATCTGCTTTCCTGAGTACACAGGTGGGTGTCTCGGGTCCCTGTGCAGGAGGAAGCCCCACCCCTCCCAGGGACCGGGGTCCCCTGCACAGGCGTGAACCTGTGGCTCCGGGAACAGGCTGCCGGGCCAGCACGGGCTGGCGTGCGGGGCGCCAGGGCTGGAGTCCGACAGGGCGCAGAGGGAAACGCCAGGGTGTGGCCAGCGTGTGGGGGGAAGTGGACCTTCTGATGCATATGCTTTGTGACCAGGTGACTCGGGAGTGACGTGGCAAGGGTCAGGAGGCGGGCAGGACAGCAGGCTTCCCCTTTCACCCTGGTCACCTCCAGAGGAGGTCTCCTGCCTCCCCCGGTCTCCCCAGTGGCCTCCCCTTAACCTCCCCCGGGCGGCTGCTGGCCTCACAGCACCTGGGCCTGAATTGGAAAGCGTAGCCGCGTGGCCTGTGAGTGGCCACACCTGCTTTCTCTACCATCCGAGGCCTGCCTGTGTCCCACCAGATCCTTCACCCCCTCCACCATCAGCCTGCTTTCCCCTCTTCCTCCACCTCCCATCTTTTCCCAAACCAAACCCCTCTTCCCCCTCCTCTCTGTAGCCTCTTCCTTCCCTGCCTGCCTCTCTTCCACCCCCTCTGGGCTTTTCCCTCCCATCTGGCTCCCAGGGGAATGTATCACAGACCCCACGCGGAGCTCTTGCAGAGGGTGGATGAGGCATCGGAGGCAGCTGCTGTAGGCTGGCGGGCCCCGGGCCACAGCCAGGGGCTAGTGCAGAGCCCAGCCTTTGACCCTCTGGACGGGGAAGCTTCTAGGGGCCCCTTTTGCACCCTGCAGTAGAGGAGGCTGTGTCGCAGGTTGGCTCAGCCAAGAACCCCCTCACAGGCAGCCCCGAGAGAGGGGAGGGTGTGCCTGGGCTCGGGTCCCAGGGCTACACTGTCCCCTCCACCCTTCTCCACCGCTGGGACGTGTGGCACTCACCCTCCGTGTGGAGAAAGGCCCATCGGTTATTCTGAGCACAGCCCGTCTGTCACCGGTGTTCCACTGCTTGTCAATCAGCAAGGCTCCCGCCCACCCCAGGGTGCTAGGAGCAGGGGTGGCAGCGGCCGGGGTGGCGGCAGGCTGGGGTCGGACAGCGGTCAGGAGCATGTCTCCAGCAGGCAGGGGCACAAAAGCAGCCGCTGGAGCCAGACCACTGCCACTTTGGGCGAGCAAATCCCCTGACCCCGTTTCTCATCCAGGCACCACAGTGGAAACAGTAGGGCCTACGGCGCGGGGTGACCACAGGGGTGAGCGGAGAGCACAGAGCCCGGTGCCTGGTCTGCATCCCACTGGCCGTCTGTTACTCAGAGGATGGGAACCAAGGACGGGGGAGCTGCCGCGGAGGAGGTGGAAGGGGCCCTCTGCAGGGCGGCCCGGGACAGGCCCAGAGGTCCCCGGGCCGAGGAGGGCGCTGCCTGCAGGCGGCCACGGCTGACCTCCCTCCCAGCCTCAGCCAGGGCCCTGCAGGACCAGTTCTGGTCTGGAGAAAGCAGTGGTGACCGATGAGTCTCAGGAGCCAGAGGACCTGGCAGACCCTCAGGCAGGCACCAGCCCATGGCTCTTCCTTGTCCCCAGCGACCCAGCCCGTGGAGCCTGGGACGTGGCCCACGTGGCAGCCAGTCTCACTGCTGTGCAGTAGGAGGCACTGGCTGCCCCAGGGAAGTCGGTCTGAATCTGGAAACATCTGAGTTCTGCAGAGCACCCAGAGGGGTCCAACCCCACGTCACTGTTGTTGGGTGCAAACATCACCCACAACAGAGGGCAAATCGTCACCAATGAAGTAGCCCCATGGGGTGCCAAGGCCCACTGGGGGCACAGAGCAGGCTGAGGGGCAGAGGACAGGCAGGGGGCAGGTAGTAGTTGGATGGCCAAGGTGGGCTCTGTGCCTGGCTGTTAAGGGCGAGGACTCAGCAGATGCTGAGAAGACACGAGCTGGGCATCCCTGGAGTCACTCCCAGGCACTTGCACCTCAATCAGTGCCCTGTCTTGGCGCTCTCTGGACAGGAAGCTCCTTGATGGGGTCCACTCTGGCACTCTGTCTCATCTTCGAGTTGCCACTCACTTGATGGCTTCACTACCGACTCACCACTTATGGGTTGAGAGAGAGGTTCTGCCCCATGGGCTGTGCAGAGCTGGTCTTCATCCTGACCCCCACTCCAGGGATGATTCCACCCCTCCCCGCCAAACCCTCACGTTTGGTTATCTGGCTGCAGAAGCCTTTGAGCAGCCCAAGCCCCAGCCTCCCCATGCAGCTCACACACCCACAGCAGGAGGGTGGGGCCGGGGGGTGGGGGGTGGGGCAGGGGAGGTATGGTCCACACCCTCAGCACCAGAAGGTATTGGTTCCAAGCTCCCAGATCCTAGTGACAGAGGCTTCTTCCTTTGATGGGCTCTTAGGAAATTCTGTGTTGGTCTATATTTTACGGTGATTGAAAGTTGTCCACAGAGCAGAACCACGTGGGCTTGGGGTGCAGCTGATTAAAAAGAACTGTCTTTGCATCCTCCACAGATATCCCCACCAGGCCCCAGCCAGGATCAAGGGGACAGCGAGGAACAGGGGTGGGGGCCCTGGGGACCAGTTGGTATTACACACGCTGCTAGCACCTTAAACCTCCCACCCAAGGGATACCAGCGCCCTTACGTCTGGCCACTCACCCAAGAACTAGGACTGCGTAGGGGCGCCCCAGCCCTGCCAAGTGCAGGGAGATGTGCAGGTCCAGCTCGACCCCCAGGACCCCCTGCAACGCCAGGAGTCCTGGATGCCCATCTGCCAGGCCTCCCTCAGAGTCACTGCCTTGGTTTATCACAGCAGCAGGACTGGCTTATTTTTATTTCTTTTTTAAAATATATTTTTATTGATTTCAGAGAGGAAGGGAGAGGGAGATAAAAATATCAATGATGAGAGAATCATTGATCGGCTGCCTCCTGCACACCCCCTACTGGGGATCGAGCCCACAACCCAGGCATGCGCCCTGACCAGGAATCAAACCGTGACCTCCTGGTTCATAGGTCAACGCTCAACCACTGAGCCATGTTGGCCGGGCAAGCAGGACTGGTTTAGACCAGGGGTGAGTGCTGTGAAGGGCAGACCGGGGCGGGCCTCAGGGTGCTCATCCAGAAAGCAAAAGGGACCTTCTAAGGCCATTGTCCGCCCAGGGCTCCTGGGTCCATCCAGTGTGGACTCACTGAGACACCTTGAAAAGCCAGAAGCCAGGCGAATGCAGAGCTGCATGTAGGTTTGGCTGTAAAATGCAGGGACACCTTTGGAGAGGGAGTGTCTGTCTCTAGCCTCCTCTCTTCTTGGCCCATCTCACCTCCTTCCTGGGAAATGCCCCGCCCACCTCTGGCCTGGGGGTTCGCACCCCGTCCCCGCCAGCTCTCACCGGGGCCTCCCCCTGTTCTGTCTTGTTACAGGCCCCAATACCTACGAAGACGCAGCCGCCTACATCCAAGCACAATTTGAAAGCAAAAACCGCTCCCCCAACAAAGAAATTTATTGTCACATGACTTGTGCCACAGACACGAATAACATCCAGGTGGTATTCGACGCCGTCACCGACATCATCATTGCCAACAACCTCCGGGGCTGCGGCTTGTACTGACCTCTTGTCCTGTATAGCAACCTACTTGGTAATGATCCCAGCACTCAGAAAAGCTTGCACACACACACACACACACACACACCCCACTGGCAAATGCAAGTTGGTAAATAAACTTTAAAAAAAGGCGTAACAAAAACTTATATATATATATACAGATATATATTAAAAAATTCTTTTTAGTTTGTTCTAGAAAGAGTTTCAGACAGAACTGACCACCACCCCATAGATCAAGGTTTTCCTGAGTCAGCCCATGAGCATGCAGGTGTGTGCCTGTGCGCACGCTCACACACACACACACACACACACACACACACACACGAGCCGTGATGGAGTCCTGACTTAGGAGACCAGCCCCGTGGGTTCACCCTCTGAGACCCATGTCTGCGAGCAGGGAGAGGCCAAATGGCCTGGCATCGGTCCAGCCCCCGTCTCTGCTTCTACCCCCTGAGCTCTCTGCAAATCCCCAAATCCTTTACAAAATGGCCAATGCCCAACCATCTCCCTGCCCTACACCCCCAACAACAACAGGAAAATTAAGGACGCTTCTCTGTGGGTGGTGGTGGTGGTGGTGGTTCAAGGACTTAGAAGAAGCATTGCTTTGAGCAGTCCCCTGCCTCCTGGTTTCTCTCTTCACGCTAACCAGGCAAGAGTCAGAAAAGGGAGGCTTGGTTGGCGTTGTCAGAGCAGCTGAGGGGAGGGACATGCAGGGCGCTAGGGAGAAGGGGGTGAGGGGGAGAAGCGGGCAGGAGGGCCCGCAGGGAGGGGCTGGATTGCAGACCTGACCACGGGGGAGGCCTCAGGGCCCTGGGCTGGGCCTCCCTGGGGTTTCTTCTGATCTTCCTCCCATGCTGCCCCATCTTGCCCGCCTCCAACACATGAGCAATGTGCCAGGGTCTGTTGGTTGGTTGGTTTGTTGGTTTTTAAAAGCAAAGAAACTGGTCCGACTGGACCCCCTTATCTCTCTCTCTACAGACTGCTTCACGGACTCTCTGCTGTTGACCTTGATCTCCTGGTAGCATGACCTTTTGGCCTTTGTAAGACACACAGCCTTTCTGTATCCAGCCCCTGTCTAACCTATGACCCCAGAGTGACTGACGGCTGTGTATTTCTGTAGAATGCTGTAGAACCCGGTTTTAGTTGAGTCTCTACATTTAGAATTTGAAAGGAAAAAAAAAAAAAGAACATGTCTCATGTGCTTTGTAGCTTAAAAGGAAAATGGAAAACTCACCATTACATCCATATTTCTTTCTCTCTCTCTCTCTTTTTTTTTTGGAATAAAGAAACATACATCTGCACCTCCCCCACCATCTCACCTGGTGGCAGGTGTGGGGGCACATCCCTGCAGAGGTGCCAGGCCTACCTGTCCGCACCAGGTGTCCAGAATGTGCTCAGACCGGGCTGCACTTTGCACCCCACACCACCCACACCCCACACACATACACAACCCCCCCAGCCACTCCAGCTACACGCTCACCCCAGGTTTGTATAGAAAAAGCACAGCACTCACTGGCCCGTAGCTGCCCAGAAGAATCCGGATCACATGTATAAAGAGCCCCATCGAAACAGTTTTCCCGCCAACCCCCTTTCTACAGACGCCCTTTGTCATTGTTTTCAGTTGTTGAGTTTTTCTCTTTGTCCTGATGAGCCCTGTGTGCCACATACCCGGTCAGCTTTCCTTGTCTTTGGGAGTCGGGGTTGCGGGTTTTTTTCCTTTGACGTTTTTGCTTCTCGGCCTCAGATGGATGCTCCCCGTGTGTGTGTGTGTGTCCTCCACCTTCTCCTCTGTCTCGGTGACCTGTGTCCACTCTTTCTCACGTGGGGAGGGATGTTTGTGCCACAGATAAAAAGAACAACAACAAAAAGAATCCCCCACATTTTTTTTAAATGCCACAAGAAGGAAAAGAAAAACACGCAAACATTTAACAAGCAAAGATGGAATGCAGTGTTTACACGAAAGCCAGTTTCCATGACCAGTCCTGTCATTTCTACTCTGACTCGTATTCAAACCCCAAACCTCTTCACGGTTTCACTTTTAAGACATTTGCTGAAGACCAGTCACAGCCATTTCAGATAAAAAAGGAGGTAAAACGACTAAACACAAAAAAATTAAAAATACAGGAAAAAAAAAAAACTTGGAAAAAAAAAAAAGCCCACGGTCTTTCTAAGCCTTTCTATTCCCAATCGGTGAGGTTTCTGTGATATCTTACACACTGCCAGTCTACTTCTCTGACTAATGGAAATTCATGTGTAGCTCAATAAAGAGAATGTTTGTCTGTACTCGGCTCCCACGCGCGGGCTTTGTTGTCACAGGACAGGGAAGGAGGCCTTGAGGGGGCCGCAGACCCTGGGGGGCTGGCGGGCAAGGCTGGAGGGGGCAGAGAAAGAACCCCCTTGACCTTCTCCGTGTGCCCTCGGTGCCGCCATCGAGGGGAGCCAGCTGGGCACAAGGAGGGCAGAGTGGGCCATCCTGCCCACAGATGCCGGCTTCCTCGCGCTCCCGGCTCCTCCTCGCGTGCAGCTGGCTTTGTTTGTTCCTGAGGGTAACGTGCAATCGAGGATTGGAAGGGGAAACAGCTGGGAGGGCGGGTAATCCCAAATCTGCTAATACAGGCTCCTGTTACTCCTGTTCCCAGTGCTTGCACCGCAGTGGGATGGTCCCAAGAATGAGGCCAAATTGCCTGGACCCTCTGCCCCCAACTGGACATCTTTATTTTTTTACATTTATTTTGTTATTGATTTCAGAGAGGAAGGGAGAGGGAGAGAAACATCAATGATGAGAATCATTGATCGGCTGCCTCCTGCATGCCCCCTATTGGGGATCCAGCCCGAAACCCTGGGAATCGAACCTGGGACCCTTCAGTCCACAGGCCGACGCTCTATCCACTGAGCCAAGCCAGCTAGGGCTTTTTTTTTTTCTTTTTTCTTTAACATTTTTTATTATTTCAGAGAGGGAGAGGGAGAGAAACATCAATGATGAGAATCATTGATTGGCTGCCTCCTGCACGCCCCCTACTGGGGATCCAGCCCGAAACCCTGGCAAGTGGCCTGACTGGGAATCGAACTGTGACCTCCTGGTTCATAGGTCGATGCTCAACCACTGAGCCACACCGACTGGGCCACTTGACCATCTTTAAAAGCCTATGTTACCGCCCCCGGGTGCTGGGAAGCCCCCTGCAGGCCAAACACAAAAGGGGCGACTGAGATCAGCACACCTGGCACCCGGAGCCCAGTGCTGTCTCCCCGGGCGGCAGCCTCACTACCGCTCTCCCAGGCTGCCAGGTGTTTGCTGTGGTAACTAGCAAATCGGTTGAGCCTGAGACCTGGAGGGAAGGAGCACGGCCCATCCAAGTCCTTGCGTCACATCCACGGATCCCTCATTAGCCAGGCAGGCAAGTGCTGCACCGTGCGGTCCAGGGAGACAGGAGGGCCCCGGAGGTCAGGCCAATGGAACCCTTTCCACACCCCAACAGCTGGGAATGGCCAGCCCGGGCAGTTCCAGGGCTTGTGAAGCTAGTGGAGGTGGGTAGGGGGTGATACTGCTGCAGACACGGATAGCAAGCCAGTTCCCTCCGTTATAGAGAACCAGCTGGCCCTCGTCAGCCAGGACCAGCCTGCTGGTCAGCCAGGCCACACCAGTGCTTTTCCCACCAGCCCCCCTCACCCCAACTCACCTGCACAGGGAGGCCCACCAGCTCTGTTGATGGGAAGGTTGCACTCCCGGCCACAGCTTGGCCGTGACCGTCGGCACATGGCGTCACTGAAGTTCGCTAAAAGTGAGCCATGTCTGGCAGGGTTCTCTCCCAACAGAGCTTTCTTTGCCTGATCTTCCTTAAAATGAGTCAGGAGCATCGTTTGAGGAGAGGATTCGGGGGGACCGATGCAGTTAGAGCGAGGAGCGTGGGGTCGAGCCCAAGGGGCTCTAATGCCCACTCGGGTCTGGAACCACTTCTGGGCGATGAGCCGAGGCTTCCAGACGGAGGGCGTCCGGGTGGGCAGGCAGGTTATTCCGGAACAAGCTCAGTGCAAAGCCGTGGCTCCTTTTACCTGCTGGGCCGTGTCCGCAGGGCTCCCAGCTCCCCTCCCGTGATGGGGAGAGTCACCCGAGAGAGGACCGTCTGCTGGCACACTGGGTGCCCAGCTCAAGCGGGAAATGAGGTCCAGGTCCAGTGGCCACCTGGGCACCTAGGACTCTAGCAACACAAAACGTCCACACAAAAGCCTCAAAACTTGGGAGGGTGGAGGGTGGGAACCAAGACCTCAACAAAATAGGACCCTAAAGAAGATGGACGGCGTACGATAGACTACTTCCAAAGCCCACAGGCTCCCTGACCTGGAGGCAGCCAGGGCAGGGAAAGGCCATGGGATAGGGTCCCCAGGGGACCCTGGTCTAGCTCCTGCCACTGCCCTTGGCGTATATCCCAGTTGCCCCCAGAAGTGACAAAAGCCGAGTGGATAGTACCCAGAATCCTTAGCTATCCAGATGCAAAATCAGGCTGTGAGTCTAGGACTTCTCTCCTGGGTCACTCGACGCTGTGTGAGGCACCACGCCCAGCTTCCATCACTGTCACACTGCGAGGCGCCAGTGTCTCAAAACCTCAAACTGCCTTCAAACAATTCCTCTTCTCACACATCTGAAACATAATGTCATCTTTAATCGCGCAACCCGCAGGGCGTAAGGATGGAATCGGCACACAATCAGAACGGGACCGCGCGACGGCACCTCCGGAGGAAACGCCTTAGCTCCCGCCGCACACAGCACACTAAGAATCGAGTTTGCTTTTTATTATTATTATTGTTTTACAATAAAAACAAACAGCTATGCTCTCAGCAAAACAAAACACATTTTGTTTTTTAAAAAATCACAGAAATGTACTAACAGCATTTCAAAGGTAAGGCTTCTGAAAGGTTTATTGAAATAAATTATCTTGGCCTAGACATTTACTCATCACTCTTTTTTCAATTACTTTTCAACATTCTAGAAACTTTCCGTTTAAAATACATTTAACTTTGTCAATAATTTTAGGTAATACTGGATTCTCCCCCAAAGGACTATCATAACTGTTTTGAAACATTAAAAAAAAAAAACTTAATCCGATAGGACACAAAACTGAACTATGTAACCTATCACTGCATGTTTCAAATCCTTGAAGTTAAATGTGGGATGAATTTGAAAAGGGCCAGGACCTGCGTCTGCTTCAAGCAGGTGGATACCGCATCTTACCTTTCCGAGTTTAATTACACCAACAGGAACACAGTGATGAGAATGAAGGGCTCCAGAAAAGACGGGAAAGGTAGCTTTCATTTCTCCAGCAAAGCCCTCCAGAATGTCCTCTCCATCTCGTCGGGCCCACATTGTCCCCAAGGACAAACCCACAGCCACTGGCATTGACTAATTTACTTGACCAAGGAATTCAAACCATAAACCAAAGCTTGCTGCGCACCCCTCAGTGCTGCCCGCCCCCCACACACATCTGGGGGCCAATGACACGCAGAGGAGAGGACAGACACACAGGGTGAACACGTGAGATGCAGCAGCACCAGCGTAAACGGAAATAAAACCAGCTTTGATTGGGGCTCAGAAAGGAAGTCCCGGATGGACTGGGACACACGGGTCACCAGCTCACACGCTACCCTGGCTGCTCCAGGTGTCAAACCAAGAGTTTTCCCAAGATGCCCTGCCAGCCCATGGGTCCAGGGCCCGGCTCCGGCCCCCGTGCCACTCTGAACGCCTCTGAGAACAGCATGAGACAGACCCTCCAGTGATGTGGCTCCCGCTGTACATCCCCCTCTTCATGAACCTGCCCCCACCCCCTCTTCCTGCCAGATCGGGGGCTGAGACACCAGCACTGGCTGTGACTTATGCGTAAGGCAGTCATCGAAGCTGCTGGCCTCAGGGCCTCTGGCTGCCCACTGCCTCCTGGTCTTCCCCGCCCCCAAGAAGTCCAGGCAATGCCAGAAGAGATCATGCCTAGAGTTAACATGTGCAGTGTTTCTAACGGGAGAAGAAATGTCACATAGAAAGGGTTACAAAAAAGGATTACATTTGTCAGCTGTCCAAACACTATGAAGACCACATGCTTTGTACAGCGGCAATGCAGTCAGGCCCACGTCAGACGCGGGCGGCCAGGCAGGCCTCTTCGGTGGGCGCGCTGCTCGGGGAGGCGGCTGAGCAGGGCCAGGAAGCGCTAGGAGGTCTGCTGCTTCTGAAGTCTCCGTTCTGCGGCCGCAGCCAGCATCCTCCGACGCAGGGTCACAGGGTCGGAGGCCGTGCCTTCCGAGGCCAGGCAGCTCTCTGAGGCCGAGTCATCTTCAGAACTTCGGTTCAAGAACCGCCTTGAACAGAAAACAAAGGATTTACTTGAGGCGCGAGGAAAGCTGCGGAACAGACACAGAAACACACAGGACGCGTCTCTTTTTCAGCCCTCGTTTTGCAGGCACCTTCATGAAGCTGTCACTCAGCTCTACCCCATGAGAAAGACCCGCCCTGAGCAGAGGAGCAGATGTTCTCCGCACGGGGAGGAGGCGCGTCAAGAGACAGCACAGCTGTCCGTCCTCTGGCTGTCCCCTCCCCACAGTCACACACAGCACGAAGCACCCCCTGCTCGAATGAACACAATGCTGCCCTGTCCCCAAGGGTTGAA